GGGGACACTGGGGACATTGGGGACGTTGGGGACATGGGGACATTGGGGACATGGGGGGGACACTGGAGACATTGGGGACATTGGGGACATGGGGACATGGGGGACATTGGGGACATTGGGGACATTGGGGACAGCAGGGACATGGACAAGGGGGGTGAGGGGACATCAGGGACACAGGGGGCACAGGGACAAGGGGGACATGGGAACACTGGGGACATGGGGGATATGGAGACACGGAGGACCTTGGGGGGCTATGGGGACACTGGGGACATGAGAGGACATGAGGGACACAGGGGACATGGGTGACATTGGGGACACTGGGCACAGCAGAGTCTTGGGGACATGGGGGGTGTTGAGGGGACATGGGGGCATTGAGGGGACATTGGGGACATTGGGGACATTGGGGACATTGGGGACATTGGGGGCATTGGGGACATGGGGACATTGGGGGACATGAGGACATTGGGGTCAGCAGGGACATGGGGAACAGGGAGGGACATAAGGGACGTTGGGGACATGGAGGACACTGGGGGGACATGGGGGACACAGAGGGCACAGAGGGGACACTGGGGACACTGGGGGGACATGGGGGACGCTGAGAGGACATGGGGACTTGGGAACACGGGGGGACATTGAGGGGACATGGGGGACATGGGGGACACAGAGGGACACTGGGGACTTGGCCGCTTTTGGTGGCGCTGGGGACACAGAGGGGACACTGGGGACATTGGGGACATTGGGGACACTGGGGACATGGAGAAGGGGGAACATGGGGAGCCACAGGGGCCACGTCCAGGTGTGGCAGCTCAGGGGACACGGGGATGGGACAGGGACACGGGGATGGGACACAGGGACACGGGGATGGGACACAGGGACAGGGACAGGGATATGGGACAGGGACACGGGGATGGGACACAGGGACAGGGACAGGGGATGGGACACAGGGACAGGGTGGTGGGGCTGCAGCCCCTCCCAGTGCTCCCAGTAATCCCAGTTCCCCCCCCCAGCACTTCCTGCGGCCGCTGCGGCACTTCCTGGAGCCGCAGGACATGGAGAGCGTGTTCATCAACATCGAGGTGACAGCGGGGACAGCGGGGACAGCGGGGACACAGACCGGGGACAGCGGGGACAGCGGGGACAGCGGGGACACTGACCAGGGACAGTGGGGACAGAGGGGACACTGGGGACACTGGGGACACAGACCAGGGACAGCGGGGACACTGGGGCCACAAACCAGTGACACCAGTGACACCGACCAGGGACACCAGGGACAACTGGGGACACCAGGGACACTGACCAGTGACACCACTGACACCAGTGACAGTGACACCAATGACTCAAGTGACACCAGTGACACAGGGGACACCAGTGACCCCAGGGACCCCAGAGACACCAGTAACACTGGCCAGTGACACCAATGACACCAGTGACACCAGTGACACCAGGGACACTGACCAGTAACACCAGTGACACCAGTGACACCAGCGACACCAGTGACCCCAGGGACCCCAGAGACACCAGTAACACTGGCCAGTGACACCAGTGACACCAGTGACACCAGTGACACCAAGGACACCAATAACACCAGTTACACTGACACCAATGACCCCAGTGACACCAGTAACACTGACCAGTTACACCAGTGACCCCAGTGACCCCAGTGACCCCAGTAACACCAGTGACACCAGTGACACCAGTGACACCAGTGACACCAGTGACACAGGGGACACTGACCACTGACACTGACCAGTGACACTGACCAGTGACCCTGACCAGTAACACCAGTAACACCAGTAACACCAGTGACACCAGTGACACTGACCACTGACCCTGACCAGTAACACCAGTAACACCATTAACACCGGTGACTCCACTGACACCAGTGACACTGACACCAATGACACCAATGACACCAGTGACCCTGACCAGTGACCCTAGTAACACCAGTGACCCCAGTAACACCAGTGACACGGGGGACACCAGTTACCCCAGTGACAAAGCCCCACCAGTGACACCAGTACCCCCCCAGTGCTCCCAGTAACCCTCCAGTGCTCCTTTAACGCCTCCCAGTTCTCCCAGTAACCCCAGTACGGGTCCTGGAGGGGTCCGGTGGGGGGGGTTAATCCCCAACTTTGGGGTGACCCCCTCCAAGTTTTTGGTGTAACCCCCCAATTTTTGGGGTGATCCCCCCCGATTTTGGGGTGACCCTCCTGTTTCCTGGGGTGTCCCCCATACTTTGGGGGGTGTCCCCCGATTTTGGGGTGTCCCCTCCAATTTTGGGGTGTCTCTCCCATATTTTGGGGTGTCCCCCCCATATTTTGAGGTGTCCCCCTCATATTTTGGGGTGTCCCCCCCGATTTTGGGGGGTGATCATCCTGATTTTGGGCTGTGTCCCCCCCCGATTTGGGGTGACCCCCCATATTTTGGGGGTTCCTCCCGATTTTGGGCTGTGTTCCCCCCCCCGATTTTAGGGTGTTCCCTCCGATTTTAGGGAGTGTCCCCCCCATATTTTGGGGTTTCCTCCCGATTTTGGGCTGTGTCCCCTCCCGATTTTGGGGGGTCCCCCTCGATTTTTGGGGTGTCCCCCCCATATTTCGGGGTGTCCCCCCCATATTTTGGGGTGTTCCCCCCGATTTTGGGCTGTGTCCCCCCAATTTTGGGGTGTCCCCCTCGATTTTTGGGGTGACTCTCCTGGTTTTTGGGGTGTCCCTCCATATTTCGGGTGTTCCCCCCGATTTTGGGGTGTCCCCCTCGATTTTTAGGGTGTCCCCTCCGATTTTGGGGAGTGTCCCCCCCCATATTTTGGGGTGTTCCCCCCGATTTTGGGCTGTGTCCCCCCCAATTTTGGGGTGTCCCCCTCGATTTTTGGGGTGACCCTCCTGGTTTTTGGGGTGTCCCCCCCATATTTCGGGGTGTCCCCCCCATATTTTAGGGGGTGTCCCCCCCGATTTTGGGGTGACCCCCCCGTGTCCCCCCAGGAGCTGCTGCAGCTGCACCGGCTGTTCCTGGGGGACCTTCGGGGGGCGCTGGGGGCCTGGGTGACTGCCCCCCTCTTCCTCACCTACAAGGAGAGGTACGGGGGGTCCGGGGGGTCCTGAGGGGCTTTGGGGGGTCCGGGGAGCCTGGAGGGGTCTGGGGGATCCGAGGGGTGGTCCTGAGGGGGTCCTGGTGGGCTTTGGGGGTCCGGGAGGTTCCTGGAGGGGTTTGGGGGTCCGGGGGGGTCCTGAGAGGGTCCTGGAGGCTGGGGGTCCAGGGGATCTTGAAGGGGCTTTGGGGGTCCGGGGGTCCTGGAGGGGTTTGGGGGCCCGGGGTGGGGACTGGAGGGTTTGGAGGTCCTGGGGGCGGTTCTGGAGAGGTTTGGGGGTCCAGGGGTGTCCTGGAGGGGTTTTGGGGGCCCAGGGGGTCTTGAGGGTTTGTGGGGGTCCAGAGGGGTCATGGAGGGTCCTGGAGGGGTTTGGGGGAGTCTGAGGGGGTCCTGGGGTCCCGGGGGTCCTGGAGAGGTTTGGGGAGTCCGGGGGTCCTGTAGAGTTTTGGGGAGATCCAGGGGTCCTGGAGGGGTTTAGGGGGTCGGGGGGTCCTGGAGGGTTTTGGGGGTCCAGGGGGTCCTGGAGGGGTTTGGGGGTCCGGGTGGTCCTTGGGGTGGGGAGTCTGAGGTTTGGGGAGGTTGGAAGGGGGACCTGGAGAGGGGTCTTGGGGGTCCAGGAATGGGAAATGGGGGCTCAGGGGGTCTTTGGGAGGTTTTGGGGAGTCAGTGGGGGTCCGGTGGAAGGGGGTGTTGGGGGGCCGGGAGGGAGGGTGGGAGATCCAGAGGGGGGAAATTTGGGCCAGTAATGGGGTCAGGTGGATTTAGGGTGGATTTGGGGTGGATTTTGGGGTGGATTTTGGGCTGATTTTGGGTGATTTGGGGTGGTTTTGGGGTGGATTTGGGGTGATTTTGGGTTATTTTGGGGTGATTTGGGGTGATTTGGGGTGTCCCAGGTTCCTGCTGTATGGCCGGTACTGCAGTCAGGTGGATTTGGGGTGATTTGGGGTGATTTTGGGGTGATTTGGGGTGATTTGGGGTGATTTGGGGTGGATTTGGGGTGATTTGGGGTGATTTTGGGTGTCCCAGGTTCCTGCTGTATGGCCGGTACTGCAGTCAGGTGGATTTGGGGTGATTTTGGGGTGATTTGGGGTGATTTTGGGATGGATTTTGGGTGATTTTGGGTGTCCCAGGTTCCTGCTGTATGGCTGGTACTGCAGTCAGGTGGATTTGGGGTGGATTTGGGGTTATTTTGGGGTGATTTGGGGTGATTTGGGGTGATTTGGGGGTGGATTTGGGGTGATTTGGGGTGATTTGGGGTGATTTTGGGTGTCCCTGCCAAGGTTCCTGCTGTATGGTCGGTACTGCAGTCAGGTGGATTTGGGGTGGATTTGGGGTGGATTTGGGGTGATTTGGGGTGATTTTGGGGTGTCCCTGCCCAGGTTCCTGCTGTATGGCCGGTACTGCAGTCAGGTGGATTTGGGGTGGATTTGGGGTGATTTGGGGTGATTTGGGGTGATTTTGGGTGTCCCAGGTTCCTGCTGTATGGCCGATACTGCAGTCAGGTGGATTTGGGGTGGATTTTGGGGTGATTTGGGGTGATTTGGGGTGATTTTGGGGTGTCCCTGCCCAGGTTCCTGCTGTATGGCCGGTACTGCAGTCAGGTGGATTTGGGGTGATTTTGGGGTGGATTTTGGGGTGATTTGGGGTGATTTGGGGTGATTTTGGGTGTCCCAGGTTCCTGCTGTATGGCCGGTACTGCAGTCAGGTGGATTTGGGGTGGATTTGGGGTGATTTTGGGGTGATTTGGGGTGATTTGGGGTGATTTTGGGTGTCCCAGGTTCCTGCTGTACGGCCGGTACTGCAGTCAGGTGGATTTGGGGTTATTTTGGGGTGATTTGGGGTGATTTGGGGTGTCCCAGGTTCCTGCTGTATGGCCGGTACTGCAGTCAGGTGGGTTTGGGGTGATTTGGGGTGATTTTGGGTGTCCCAGGTTCCTGCTGTATGGCCGGTACTGCAGTCAGGTGGATTTGGGGTTTGGATTTTGGGGTGATTTGGGTGATTTGGGGTGATTTGGGGTGTCCCAGGTTCCTGCTGTATGGCCGGTACTGCAGTCAGGTGGATTTGGGGTGGATTTGGGTTTATTTTGGGGTGATTTTGGGGTGATTTGGGGTGATTTTGGGTGTCCCAGGTTCCTGCTGTACGGCCGGTACTGCAGTCAGGTGGATTTGGGGTGGATTTGGGGTGATTTGGGGTGATTTTGGGGTGGATTTGGGGTGGATTTGGAGTGATTTGGGGTGATTTTGGGGTGGATTTGGGGTGGATTTGGGGTGATTTGGGGTGATTTTGGGTGTCCCAGGTTCCTGCTGTATGGACGGTACTGCAGTCAGGTGGATTTGGGGTGATTTTGGGGTTATTTTGGGGTGATTTTGGGGTTATTTTGGGGTGATTTTGGGTGTCCCAGGTTCCTGCTGTATGGCCGGTACTGCAGTCAGGTGGATTTGGGGTGGATTTGGGGTGATTTTGGGTTATTTTGGGGTGATTTGGGGTGATTTTGGGTGTCCCAGGTTCCTGCTGTATGGCCGGTACTGCAGTCAGGTGGATTTGGGGTGATTTGGGGTGATTTTGGGTGATCCTGGTGTATACTGTACTGCAGTCAGGTGGGTTTGGGGTGATTTGGGGTGATTTTGGGGTGTCCCTGCCCAGGTTCCTGCTGTATGGCCGGTACTGCAGTCAGGTGGATTTGGGGTGATTTGGGGTGGATTTGGGGTGGATTTGGGGTGGATTTGGGGTGATTTGGGGTGATTTTGGGTGTCCCAGGTTCCTGCTGTATGGCCGGTACTGCAGTCAGGTGGATTTGGGGTGATTTGGGGTGATTTGGGGTGATTTGGGGTGATTTTGGGTGTCCCTGCCCAGGTTCCTGCTGTATGGCCGGTACTGCAGTCAGGTGGATTTGGGGTGGATTTGGGGTGATTTTGGGTTATTTTGGGGTGATTTGGGGTGATTTTGGGTGTCCCAGGTTCCTGCTGTATGGCCGGTACTGCAGTCAGGTGGATTTGGGGTGGATTTGGGGTGATTTTGGGGTGATTTGGGGTGATTTTGGGGTGTCCTTGCCCAGGTTCCTGCTGTATGGCCGGTACTGCAGTCAGGTGGATTTGAGGTGATTTGGGGTGATTTTGGGGTGATTTGGGGTGATTTAGGGTGATTTTGGTGTCCCAGGTTCCTGCTGATGGCCGGTACTGCAGTCAGGTGGATTTGGGGTGATTTTGGGGTGATTTGGGGTGATTTGGGGTGTCCCAGGTTCCTGCTGTATGGCCAGGTACTGCAGTCAGGTGGATTTGGGGTGATTTGGGGTGATTTGTGGGTGTCCCAGGTTCCTGCTGTATGGCCGGTACTGCAGTCAGGTGGATTTGGGGTGATTTGGGGTGATTTTGGGTGTCCCAGGTTCCTGCTGTATGGCCGGTACTGCAGTCAGGTGGATTTGGGGTGATTTTGGGGTGATTTGGGGTGATTTTGGGGTGATTTTGGGTGTCCCAGGTTCCTGCTGTATGGCCGGTACTGCAGTCAGGTGGATTTGGGGTGGATTTGGGGTGATTTTGGGGTGATTTGGGGTGATTTGGGGTGATTTTGGGTGTCCCAGGTTCCTGCTGTATGGCCGGTACTGCAGTCAGGTGGATTTGGGGTGATTTTGGGGTGGATTTGGGGTGATTTGGGGTGATTTTGGGGTGATTTGGGGTGATTTTGGGTGTCTCAGGTTCCTGCTGTATGGCCGGTACTGCAGTCAGGTGGATTTGGGGTGATTTTGGGGTGATTTGGGGTGATTTTGGGTGTCCCAGGTTCCTGCTGTATGGCCGGTACTGCAGTCAGGTGGATTTGGGGTGGATTTTGGGGTGATTTGGGGTTATTTTGGGGTGATTTTGGGGTGATTTTGGGTGTCCCAGGTTCCTGCTGTATGGCCGGTACTGCAGTCAGGTGGATTTGGGGTGATTTTGGGGTGGATTTGGGGTTATTTTGGGGTGATTTTGGGTGTCCCAGGTTCCTGCTGTATGGCCGGTACTGCAGTCAGGTGGATTTGGGGTGGATTTGGGGTGATTTGGGGTGATTTTGGGGTGATTTGGGGTGATTTTGGGGTGTCCCTGCCCAGGTTCCTGCTGTATGGCCGGTACTGCAGTCAGTTGGATTTGGGGTGGATTTGGGGTGATTTTGGGTGGTTTATTTTGGGGTGATTTTGGTGTCCTAGGTTCCTGCTGTATGGCCGGTTACTGCAGTCAGGTGGATTTGGGGTGATTTGGGATGATTTGGGGTGGATTTGGGGTGGATTTGGGGTGATTTTGAGGTGTCCCAGTGTTCCTGCTGTATGGCCGGTACTGCAGTCAGGTGGATTTGGGGGGGTGGTTGGGGTGATTTGGGGTGATTTGGGGTGATTTGGGGTGATTTGTGGTGTCCCAGTGTTCCTGCTGTATGGCCGGTACTGCAGTCAGGTGGATTTGGGGTGATTTTGGGGTGATTTGGGGTGATTTTGGGGGTGATTTTGGGTGTCCTGGGTCTTCCTGCTATGGCCGGTACTGCAGTCAGGTGGATTTGGGGGTGATTTTGGGGTGGATTTGGGGTTATTTTGGGGTGATTTGGGGGTGATTTCGGGTGTCCCAGGTTCCTGCTGTATGGCCGAGTACTGCAGTAGTCAGTTGGATTTGGGAGTTGGATTTGGGGTGATTTTGGGTGATTTGGGTGTCCCAGGTTCCTGCTGTATGGCCGGGTACTGCAGTCAAGGTGGATTTGGGGTGATTTGGGGTGATTTTGGGGTGGATTTGGGGGTTGGATTTGGGGTGATTTTGGGTGTCCCAGGTTCCTGCTGTATGGCCGGTACTGCAGTCAGGTGGATTTGGGGTGGTTTGGGGTGATTTGGGGTGATTTGGGGTGATTTGGGGTGATTTTGGGTGTCCCAGGTTCCTGCTGTATGGCCGGTACTGCAGTCAGGTGGATTTGGGGTGGATTTGGGTTTATTTTGGGGTGATTTTGGGTGATTTTGGGTGTCCCAGGTTCCTGTGATGGCTGACTGCAGTCAGGTGGATTTGGGGTGGATTTGGGGTGGATTTGGGGTGATTTGGGGTGATTTTGGGTGTCCCAGGTTCCTGCTGTATGGCCAGTACTGCAGTCAGGTGGATTTGGGGTGGATTTGGGGTTATTTTGGGGTGATTTTGGGTTATTTTGGGGTGATTTGGGGTGATTTGGGGTGTCCCAGGTTCCTGCTGTATGGCCGGTACTGCAGTCAGGTGGATTTGGGGTGGATTTGGGGTGATTTGGGGTGATTTGGGGTGTCCCAGGTTCCTGCTCTATGGCCGGTACTGCAGTCAGGTGGATTTGGGGTGGATTTGGGGTGATTTGGGGTGATTTTGGGGTGATTTGGGGTGATTTTGGGGTGGATTTGGGGTGATTTGGGGTGGATTTGGGGTGATTTGGGGTGATTTTGGGTGTCCCAGGTTCCTGCTGTATGGCCGGTACTGCAGTCAGGTGGATTTGGGGTGGATTTGGGGTGGATTTGGGGTGATTTTGGGTTATTTTGGGGTGATTTGGGGTGATTTTGGGTGTCCCAGGTTCCTGCTGTATGGCCGGTACTGCAGTCAGGTGGATTTGGGGTGGATTTGGGGTTATTTTGGGGTGATTTGGGGTGATTTTGGGTGTCCCAGGTTCCTGCTGTATGGCCGGTACTGCAGTCAGGTAGATTTGGGGTGATTTTGGGGTGATTTGGGGTGGATTTGGGGTGATTTGGGGTGATTTTGGGTGTCCCAGGTTCCTGCTGTATGGCCGGTACTGCAGTCAGGTGGATTTGGGGTGGATTTGGGGTGATTTTGGGGTGGATTTGGGGTGGATTTGGGGTGATTTTGGGTGTCCCAGGTTCCTGCTGTATGGCCGGTTCTGCAGTCAGGTGGATTTGGGGTTATTTTGGGGTGATTTTGGGGTGATTTGGGGTGATTTTGGGTGTCCCAGGTTCCTGCTGTATGGCCGGTACTGCAGTCAGTTGGATTTGGGGTGGATTTGGGGTGATTTGGGGTGATTTTGGGTGTCCCAGGTTCCTGCTGTATGGCCGGTACTGCAGTCAGGTGGAAGGGGCCGCCCGGCGCCTGGACCAGCTCTCGGCCTGCACCGACCTGCGCATGAAGCTCCAGGTGCCCCTCTGGACCCCCCCTAGATCCCCCCAGAACCCCCAAACCCCCCCAAATCCCCACCCACGCCCTCCACATGAAGAGGCACAGGTGGGCCCAGATCCCCTGGACCCCACTCAGATCCCCCTAGACCCCCAAATCCACACCCACCCCTCCCCACAAAGGCACAGGTGGGTCCAGGTCCCCAGGGCTCCCCCACAGGACCCCCGACATCCCCAGGACCCCCCTTGACTCCCCCCACCCCTCCCCATCCCCCTGACCCCGATGACCCCTGGTATCCCCCTGGGACCTCCCTGCCCCCATGACCCCAATTTCCCCCCAATTCCCACGATCTCTCTGTGCCCCAATAACCCCTTTGTGACCCCAATGAGACCCTGAGACCCCAATTCCCCTCACTTCAATCCCCACGACCCCCTTGTGACCCCCAATGACCCCTTGTGACCCCAATGTGACCCCACTGACCCCCCGACCCCACTGACCCCATCCATGACCCCAAACAACCCCCTGTGAACCCACTGACCCCCGACCCCAGTGACCCCCCCTGACCCCACTGACACCCCTGACCACCCAGTGACCCCCTTGACGCCTGTGACCCCATCCATGACCCCAAACAACCCCCTGTGAACCCACTGACCCCCCTGACCCCAGTGACACCCCTGGCCCCACTGACCCCACCCCATGACCACCCCACGACCCCCACTGACCCCCCGACTCCAGTGACCCCCCAGCCCCCCTGACCCCCCAGTGACCCCACTGACCCCAGTGACCCCCTGACCCCAGTGACCCCCACGACCCCAGTGACTCCCCCCCAACTCCAGTGACCCCCAGCCCCCTTGACCCCCAGTGACCCCCAGTCCCACTGACCCCACAACTCCAGTGACCCCCTTGACCCCTGTGACCCCATCCATGACCCCAGACAACCCCCGTGAACCCACTGACCCAGACCCCAGTGACACCCCTGGCCCCACTGACCCCCCCGTGACCACCACCTGGACTCCCAGTGACCCCGAGCCCCTAGTGACCCCCCAACTCCAGTGACTCCCGGACCCCACTGACCCCATCCATGACCCCAAACAACCCCCTGTGAACCCACTGACCCCCTGACTCCACTGACCTCCCACTGACCCCCTGACCCCCATGACCTCCCCCGACCCCAGTGACCCCCTGACTCCACTGACCCCCCCGACCCCAGTGACTCCCCTCAGCTCCAGTGACCCCCCGACCCCACTGACCCCATCCATGACCCCAAACAACCCCCTGTGAACCCACTCGACCCCCCGACCCCCATGACCACTCCCCAGACCTCCAGGACTCCCCGCCACCCTTTACCCCCAGTGACCCCCTGACCCCAGTGACCTCTCCAGCCCCAGTGACCCCCCCAGCCCCTTTACCTCCAGTGACCCCCCAGCCCGCATGACCCCCCGGCCTCATGACCCCTGTGCCCCCCTGCCCCCAGGAGTGCTCCCAGCGGGCCAACAACGGGCGCTTCTCCCTGCGGGACCTGCTGATGGTGCCCATGCAGAGGGTGCTCAAATACCACCTGCTGCCCAGGTGGGCACCTGGGACACCTGGGGACAGCTGGGGACACCTGGGGACAGCTGGGGACACCTGGGACACACCTGGGGACACCTGGGGACAGCTGGGGACACCTGGGGACAGCTGGGGATACCTGGGGACAGCTGGGACACACCTGGGGACACCTGGGGACACCTGGGGACACCTGGGGACAGCTGGGGATACCTGGGGACAGCTGGGGATACCTGGGGACACACCTGGGGACACCTGGGGACACCTGGGGACACCTGGGGATACCTGGGGACACCTGGGGACACCTGGAGAGGGAGGGGACACACCTGGGACACACCTGGGACACACCTGGGACACCTGGGGACACCTGGGGACAGCTGGGGATACCTGGGGACAGCTGGGGATACCTGGGGACACACCTGGGGACACCTGGGGACACCTGGAGAGGGAGGGGACACACCTGGGACACCTGGGGATACCTGGGGATACCTGGGAGAGCTGGGACACACCTGGGGACACCTGGGGACACCTGGGGACACACCTGGGACACACCTGGGACACACCTGGGCACACCTGGGACACCTGGGAGACACCTGGGGCACACCTGGGACGCACCTGGGGAGCAGGGACACACCTGGGGACACCTGGGGACACCTGGGGACACACCTGGGACACACCTGGGACACACCTGGGACACCCGGGGACACCTGGGGACACACCTGGGGACACCTGGGGACACCTGGGACACATCTGGGGACACCTGGGATGTGCGAGCTGGGACACCTGGGGACACCTGGGGCACACCTGGGGACACCTGGGGACACATCTGAGGACACCTGGGGATACCTGTGAGAGCTGGGACACACCTGGGACACACCTGGGGACACACCTGGGGACACCTGGGGACACCTGGGGACACCTGGGGACACCTGGGGAGGTAGGGGACACACCTGGGACACACCTGGGACACACCTGGGGACACCTGGGACACACCTGGGACACACCTGGGAGAGCTGGGACACACCTGGGGACACCTGGGGACACCTGGGGAGGGAGGGGACACACCTGGGACACACCTGGGATACACCTGAGGACACCTGAGGACACCTGGGAACACCTGGGACACACCTGGGACACACCTGGGGACACCTGGGGACACCTGGGGACACCTGGGACACCTGGGGACACACCTGGGACACACCTGGGATACATCTGGGAGACCTGGGACACACCTGGGACGCACCTGGGGAGAGGGGACACACCTGGGACACCTGGGGACACCTGGGGACACCTGGGGACACCTGGGGAGGGAGGGGACACACCTGGGACACACCTGGGATATACCTGGGACACCTGGGGACACCTGGGGAGGGAGGGGACACACCTGGGGACACACCTGGGATACACCTGAGGACACCTGGGAACACCTGGGACACACCTGGGGACACCTGGGACAGCTGGGGATACCTGGGAGAGCTGGGACACACCTGGGACACCTGGGGACACCTGGGGAGGGAGGGGACACATCTGGGGGACACCTAGGGATACCTGGGGACACACCTAGGGATACCTGGGGACACACCTGGGGATACCTGGGGACACCTGGGAGAGCTGGGACACACCTGGGACACACCTGGGGACAGCTGGGGATACCTGGGGAGGGGGGACACACCTGGGACACACCTGGGACACCTGGGACACACCTGGGGACACCTAGGACACACCTGGGGATACCTGGGGACACCTGGGGACACCTGGGGACACCTGGAGACACCTGGGGACAACCTGGGGATACCTGGGAGAGCTGGGATACACCTGGGACACACCTGGGGACACCTGGGGACAGCTGGGGACACCTGGGGACACCTGGGGACACCTGGGGAGGGAGGGGACACACCTGGGACACACCTGGGATACACCTGGGACACCTGGGACACACCTGGGAGAGCTGGGACACACCTGGGGACACACCTGGGAACACCTGGGGACACCTGAGGACACCTGGGGACACCTGGGGAGGGAGGGGACACACCTGGGACACACCTGGGGAGGGGGGGCACATCTGGGGGGTCCCCGTACCTGTCGGGGGGCACATCTGGGGGTCCCCATACCTGTCGGGGGCACACCTGGGGGTCCCCATACCTGTCGAGGGGGCACACCTGGGCCCCTGACCGACATCCCCCCAGGAGCTGGTGAAGTTGACCCCGGAGCCGGCGGAGAGGGAGCGGCTCAGGGGGCCCTGGACGCCATGAGGGTGGGTCTGGGGTCCCCGGAGGGGTCTGGGGGGTCCTGGAGGGCCCAAGGGGGCTCTGGGGAGTCCTGAAGGGGCCTGGGTGGTCCTGGAGGGGTTTGGGGGGAGGAGGGTTTAGGGGGTTCCTGGAGGGCCTTGGGGAGTCCGGGGAGTCTGGAGGGGTCCTGAAGGGCCCTGGAGGGGTCTTGGGGGTCAGGGGGGTGCTGAGGGAGGAGGTTCTGAAGGGCCCCAGGGGGCCTGGAGGGGGTCTTTGGGGGGTCTGGGGGGTTCTGAAGGGCCCTGGAGGGGTTTTGGGGGGTCCAGGGGGTCCTGGGAGGGTCCTGAAGGGCCCTGGGGGTCCTGGAGGGGTCTTGGGGTCCTGAAGGGTCCTGGAGGGGGTTTGGGGTCCAGGGGGTCTGGGAGGGGTCCTGAAGGGTCCTGGAGGATCCTGGAGGGGGTCCAGGGGGTCCTGGAGGAGTCTTGGGTGGTCCGAGGGGGTCTGGAGTGGTCCTGGAGGGTCCTGGACGGGTCTTGGGGGTCCGGGGGGAGTCTGGAGGGTCCTGGAAGGGCCTTGAAGGGATCTGGGGGGTCTGGGGGTTCTGGAGGGCCCGGGGGTCCTGGAAGGGTCTTGGAGTGTCCGGAGGGGGCTGAGAGGGGTCCTGGAGGGGACCTGGAGGATCCTGGAGGGTCCTGGAAGGGTCTTGGAGGGTCCGGAGGGGTTGAGGGGGTTCTGGAGGGACCTGGAGGGTCCTGGAGGGTCCGGGGGTCAGGGGAGGGTCCTGAAGGGCCCTGGGGGTCCTGGGTGGGTCTTGAGGGGTTCTGATGGGTCCGGGGGACTTCTGGGGGTCCTGGGGACACCTGGGGTCTCTGAGGGGGATTTGGGGTTTCTGAGGGAGATTTGGGGGTTCCTGAAGGGGAATTGGGGGTTGGGAGTTCCTGAGGGATGTCAGGGGTCCTCGGCTGTCCCGGGGGGGGTTTGGGGGTCTCTGACTGGCCTCCCCCCAGGACCTGGCCCAGTGTGTGAACGAGGTCAAACGGGACAACGAGACCCTCAAACAGCTCACGAGTGTCCAGCTCTGCCTGCACAACATGGTGGGGACCCCAGAGACCCCCGGGACCCCCAACCTGCCCCTGGGACCCCCAACCTGCCCCTGGGACCCCAGACCCCCAGTCTTCCCCCGTGTCCGGCTCTGCCTGCACAACATGGGTGGGGACCCCCGAGACCCCCAGGACCCCCAAACACCCTCAGACCCCCAGTCCTCCCCAGTGTCCACCTCTGCCTCCCACAACATGGTGGGGACCCCCAGAGACCCCCTGAGACCCCCAACCTTCCCCTCGGACCCCCAAACTGCCCTGGGACCCCCAGAACCCCCTCAATCCCCCGGTGTCCAGCTCTGCCTCCATAACATGGTGGGGACCCCCAGAGACCCCCACGACCCCTCTAATCTTCCCTTGGCACCCCAACCTGCCCCAGGACCCCAAACTGCCCCTGGCACCCCCAGAGCCCCCCAGTCCTCCCCAGTGTCTGACTCTACCTCCATAACATGGTGGGGACCCCGAGACCCCCAGGACCCCCAAACTGCCCCAAACACCCCCAGACCCCCCAGTCCTCCCCAGTGTCCAGTTCTGCCTCCACAACATGGTGGGGACCCCTGAGACCCCTGAGACCCCCCAAACTGCCCCAGGACCCCCAAACTGCCCCCAAACACCCCCAGACCTCCCAGTCCTCCCCCTCTGCCTCCCACACTGTGGTGGGGACCCCCGAGACCCCACATCCCCGTGTCCCCCAGATCCCACATTCCCAGTGTCCTCCCGCATCCCTGATGTCTCCCCATTCCCAATATCCCTCCCCGCCCCATTCCCGATGTCCCCCCACATTCCCAACTTCCCCCATTCTTGGTGCCCCCCCATTCCCAGTGTCCCCCATTCCCAATGTCCCCCCATTCCCAATATCCCCACTCCCATTCCCGATGTCCCCCACATTTCCAACGTCCCCCATTCTTGGTGCCCCTCCCCTTCCCAATATCCCCCTCCCCATTCCCAATGTCCCCCCACATTTCCAACGTCCCCCCATTCTGAGTGCCCCTCCCCTTCCCAATATCCCCCTCCCCATTCCCAATGTCCCCCCACATTCCCAACTTCCCCCCATTCTTGGTGCCCCTCCCATTCCTGATGTCCCCCACATTCCCCATGTCCCTCTGTGTCCTCCCAATCCCAACATCCCCCAATCCCAATATCCCCCCCATTCCCGATGTACCCTCGTGTCCCCCCACATTCCCAACATCCTCCTCCTTCCCAATGTCCCCCCATTCCCAATGTCCCCCATTCCCCATGTCCCCCATTCCCAATGTTCTACCATTCCCAATATTCTCCCAATCCCAATGTCCTCCCTTTCCCGATGTTCCCCCATTCCCAATGTCCCCCCATTCCCAATGTCCCCATTCCCGATGTCCCTCCCTTTCCCAATGTCCCCCCCATTCCCAATATCCCTCCCTTTCCCAATGTCCCCCCATTCCCGATGTCCCCCCATTCCCGATGTCCCCCCATTCCCAATATCCCCCATTCCCAATGTCCCCCCTTTCCTGATGTCCCTCCCTTCCCAATGTCCCCCCATTCCCAATGTCCCCCATTCCCAATGTCCCCCATTCCCAATGTCCCCCCATTCCCAATATCCTCCCATTCCCAATGTCCCCATTCCCAATGTCCCCCATTCCCAATATCCTTCCATTCCCAATGTCCCCATTCCCAATGTCCCCCATTCCCAATATCCTTCCATTCCCAATGTCCCCATTCCTATGTCCCCCATTCCCCATGTCCCCCATTCCCAGTATCCCCCGTGTCCCCCCATCCCTGATGTCTCCCCTCATTCGATGTGCCCCAATCCCAATAACCCCCCATCCAAATGTCTCCCTGTGTTCCCACATTCCCAATGTCCACCCCCCATTCCAAGTGCCCCTTCCCTCGTTCCCGGTGTCCCCCTGATGTCCCTCCATTCCCAATGCCCCCCATTCCCAATACCCCCTCCCTTGTTCTCGGTGCCCCCCATTCCCACTGTTCCAATTCCCATTCCCGATGTTCCCATTCCCGATGTTCCTGTTCCCGATGTTCCTGTTCCCGTTCCCGCTGTCCCTGTTCTCGATGTTCCCGTTCTCGATGTTCCCGTTCCCGTTCCTGATGTTCCCGTTCCCAATGTCCCCATTTCCGATGTTCCCGTTCCCGCTGTCCCCCATTCCCACTGTCCCCGTTCCCATTCCCACTGTCCCCGTTCCCATTCCCACTGTCCCCGTTCCCATTCCCGCTGTCCCTGTTCCTGTTCCCGCTGTCCCCGTTCCCATTCCCGATGTTCCTGTTCCTGCTGTCCCCGTTCCCACTGTCCCCGTTCCCATTCCCGCTGTCCCCGTTCCCACTGTCCCCGTTCCCATTCCTGCTGTCCCCGTTCCCACTGTCCCCGTTCCCATTCCCGCTGTCCCCGTTCCCATTCCCGCTGTCCCTGTTCCCGCTGTCCCCGTTCCCATTCCCGATGTTCCTGTTCCTGATGTTCCCATTCCCGATGTCCCGTTCGATGTTCCCGTTCCTGTTCCTGATGTTCCCATTCCCAATGTTCCCATTCCCGATGTTCCTGTTCCTGATGTTCCCATTCCCGATGTCCCCGTTCCCGATGTTCCCGTTCCTGTTCCTGATGTTCCCATTCCCAATGTTCCCATTCCCGCTGTCCCTGTTCCCGCTGTCCCCGTTCCCATTCCCGCTGTCCCCGTTCCTGTTCCCGCTGTCCCCGTTCCCGATGTTCCCGTTCCTGTTCCTGATGTTCCCATTCCCAATGTTCCCATTCCCAATGTTCCTGTTCCTGATGTTCCCATTCCCGATGTCCCCGTTCCCATTCCCGCTGTCCCTGTTCCCGCTGTCCCCGTTCCCATTCCCGCTGTTCCTGTCCCTGTTCCCGATGTCCCCATTCCCGGTGTCCGGCACAGCCCCAGTCCCTGGCGCAGTTTGGGCGCCCCAAAATCGACGGGGAGCTCAAAGTGTCCAGCACCGAGAGGCGCTCCAAGGTGGACAGGTGGGACATGGGGACACCATGGGGACATGGGGACATCCAGGGACATGGGGACACCATGGGGACATCATGGGGACATCCATGGGGACACCACAGGGACATGGGGACATCCATGGGGACATCCATGGGGACATCCATGGGGACACCACGGGGACATCCGTGGAGACACCACGGGGACATGGGGACATCCACAGGGACATGGGGACACAGCAGGAACCTGGGAAGATCCATGGGGACACCACAGGGACATGGGGACACCATGGGGACATCATGGGACACCACGGGGACATTCATGGGGACATGGGGACATCCACGGGGACACCACGGGGACACCATGGGGACATCCATGGGGACATCCATGGGGACATGGGGACATCCATGGGGACACCATGGGGACATGGGGACATCCATGGGGACATGGGGACACCATGGAGACATCCATGGAGACATCCCAGGGACCTTGGGGACACCATGGGGACATGGGGACATCCACAGGGACATGGGGACACCACAGGGACATGGGGACACCACAGGGACATGGGGACACCATGGGGACACCACGGGGACATGGGGACACCACAGGGACATGGGGACACCATGGGGACATGGGGACACCATGGGGACATGGGGACACCACGGGGACATCATGGGGACACCATGGAGACACCATGGGGACATGGGGACATCCACAGGGACATGGGGACATCCATGGGGACATCCATTGGGACACCACAGGGACATAGGGACACCACGGGGACATCCACAGAGACATGGGGACATCCATGGGGACACCACAGGGACACCATGGGGACATGGGAAAACAAGGATCACTCCCATGGGGACACCCTTGGGGACACCACGGGGACATCCACAGGGGCATCCATGGGGACATGTGGAAAACAGAACCCCCCATGGAGACACCACAGGGACACCACAGGGAAATGGGGACACCACAGGGACATGGGGACACCATGTCCACGTCATGGGGACATGGGGACATCCACAGGGACATGGGGACACCACAGGGACACCCCAAGGACACCACGGGGACATGGGAAAACAGGGACCACCCCACGGGGACACCCTTGGGGACACCACAGGGACATGGGGACACCCACAGGGACACTGAGGGGACATGTGGAAAACAGGGACCACCCCACGGGGACACCCCTGGGGGACACCCTTGGGGACACCACAGGGACACGAGGGGACATGTGGGAAAATAGGGACCCTCCACGGAGACACCGCAGGGACACCACAGGGAAATGGGGACACCACAGGGACACCCCAAGGACACCACGGGGACATGGGAAAACAGGGACCACCCCACGGGGACACCCTTGGGGACACCACAGGGACATGGGGACACCCACAGGGACACTGAGGGGACATGTGGAAAACAGGGACCACCCCACGGGGACACCCCTGGGGGACACCATAGGGACATGAGGACACCACAGGGACACTGAGGGGACATGGGAAAACAGGGACCGCCCCACGGGGACACCCCTGGGGACACCACAGGGACACGGGGACACCACAGGGACATGGGGAAACAGGGGCCACCCCACAGGGACACCCCTGGGGACACCCTTGGGGACACCACAGGGACACCACAGGGACACCCCAAGGGCACCACGGGGACATGGGAAAACAGGGACCACCCACGGGGGACACCCCTAGGGGACACCACAGGGACACGGGGACACCACAGGGACATGGGGAAACAGGGGCCACCCCACAGGGACACCCCTGGGGGACACCACAGGGACATGAGGACACCACAGGGACACTGAAGGGACATGGGAAAACAGGGACCACCCCATGGGGACACCCCTGGGGACACCCCTGGGGACACCACAGGGACACGAGGGGACATGTGGGAAAATAGGGACCCTCCACAGAGACACCACAGGGACACCACAGGGAAATGGGGACACCACAGGGACACCCCAAGGACACCACGGGGACATGGGGAAACAGGGACCACCCCACGGGGACACCCTTGGGGACACCCTTGGGGACACCACAGGGACATGAGGACACCACAGGGACACGAGGGGACATGTGGAAAACAGGGACCACCCCACAGGGACACCCCTGGGGCCACCCTTGGGGACACCACAGGGACATGGGGACACCCCAAGGACACCACGGGGACATGGGGACACCCCAAGGACACCACGGGGACATGGGAAAACAGGGACCACCCCACAGGGACCACCCCACGGGGACACCCCTTGGGGACACCACAGGGACACGGGGACACCCTGGGATGCGTGGTGGCCTCGAGGGGCTGGTGCCACCCCCGTCCCCTGTGCCAGGTACGGGTTCCTGCTGGACAAGGCCCTCATCATCTGCAAGCGCCGCGGGGACTCCTACGAGGCCAAGGACGTGGTGGACCTGCAGAGCCACCGCCTGGGGGACAGGGACCTCGGGCCCCGTGACGGAAAGAAGGTACCGGGGGCACGGCGGGGACACCACGGCCTGGGGGGTCTCTTCCCAAAGAACCCGGGGGGACAGGGTGTCCAGGATCCTGGTGGATCCCAGAATCCCGGTCCCTGGTGGATCCCAACGTCGTGGGCCATGGTGGACACAACTGGCCAGGTCTTGGGGATCCCAAAGTCCTGGTCCCTGGTGGATCCCAGAATCCTGATCCCTGGTGGACACAACTGGCCAGGTGTGGGGGATCCCAGAGTCCTGGTCCCTGGTGGATCTCAGAATCCTGATACCTGGTGGAACCCGACACCCTCTTCCCTGGTAGTTCCCAGGATCCTGATCCCTGGTGGATCCCAGGATCCTGATCTGTGGTAGACCCCAGGATCCCAATCCCTGACGGATCCCAGGATCCTGATCCCTGGTGGATCCCAACACCCTATTTCCTGGTGGATCCCAGGATCCTGATTCCCAGTGGATCCCAGGATCCCAATCCCCAGTGGATCCCATTATCCCGGTCCCTGCTGGACCTCCCCCCCGTGTTTGCCATCCCATGTCCAGGTGTCCCCGTGTCCTGAGTGGCCCCCCTGACCCCTGGTGACCCCCAGGGTGCGTCCCCCGGTGTCCCCCATGCCGGGGGGTCCCTCCCTGGGTGGGTGGCCCTGCTGACCCCCCTCTTTCCCCCCAGTGGTCCCACAGCTTCGCGCTGGTGGACACGGCCGGGCTCCATCACTACGAGCTCTTCTTCAAGACACAGGACATGAAGAAGAAGTGGCTGGAGCAGTTCGAGATGGCCCTGTGGGTTCCTCCATCCCCATGGGGAGGGGTAGGGGGGGGTCACCTACCCCACTGGGTGGTCCCAGGGGTGGCCCAGCTTGCCCCCACCATGCTCAGGTGCCCCCCCCGCCCCGTGTCTCTGCAGCTCCAACATCTTCCCCGAGCACGCCCTGGCCGACGGGCACGACTTCCAGATGTTCTCCTTCGAGGACACCACGTCCTGCAAGGCCTGCCAGATGTTGCTGAGGTGGGACCCCAAAATTACGTCCCCCACCCTCCTGGGGGGAGGGGAATGGGGGCCACTGTGAGCTGGGAGAGGAGGTTTGGGAGCTCTGGGAGAGGGGGAGGCCCCGGGGGGGGATTGGAGGGTCAGGTGGGTGAGTTGAGGCCGAGGTGGTCGAGGTGTGGGTTGGTAACGGAGGGGACAGGCTGAGGCCTGGGGAGGTCAAGGTTAAGGTGGGTCAAAGGTTGGGTGGAGGCCAAGGTGGGTCAAGACCAAAGTTGGTTGGAGGTCAAGGTGGGTCAAGGGTTGATTGGAGGTCAAGGTGGGTCAAGACCGAGGTGGGTCAAGGGTTGGGTGGAGGCCAAGGTGGGTCAAGGGTTGGGTGAAGGTCAAGGTGGGTCAAGAGTTGGGTGGAGGCCAAGGTGGCAGGTCAAGGCTTAGTTGGAGACCAAGGTGGGTCAAGGGTTGGGTGGAGGCCAAGGTGGGTCAAGACCAAGATGGGTCACGGTGGGGTGGGCTGAGCCCTGGGTGGGCCAGGGACGAGGTGGGTCCCTCCTGGGTGGGTTCAAACCACGAGGGGGTTGATCCTGGAGGGGTCAAGACCAACACAGGCCAAGAACCGGGTGGGTCAAGGGCCGGGCTGGCCAACCCAGCTCCAGCCCAGCTGCACCAGGGATCAGTCAATGGCTGATGGCCAATCAGCCCTGGGTGGGGCAGGTGTGGCTGGGGGTGCCCTCCATGACTGTGACCCCCTGTCCCCCCTTGTCCCCCCCGTGTCCCCAGGGGCACCTTCTACCAGGGCTATCGCTGCAGCCGCTGCCGCGCCCCCGCCCACAAGGAGTGCCTGGGCCGGGTGGGGACGTGCGGCAAAGCCGGAGCCGGTGAGGGGACATCGTGGAATACGAGGGGGATTGGGGAATGGGGGGGATCAGGGGATGGGGGAAGGGGCTCTGAGGGAGGAAACAGGGGGTGGGGAGGAGTAGGGGGTTGTGGGATACAAATGGCTGACACGGTGCAGGGCATTGTGGGATAGGGGATGGCCGACGAGGAGAAGGGCATTGTGGGGTTCAAGATGGCTGACATCGACCACCAGAGGATGGAAGATGGGGCAGGGAATTGTGGGATACAAGATGGCTGACACTGAGTATCATGGGATACAAGATGGTTGACATGGAGAAGGGTATTGTGGGATACAAGATGGCCGACACTGAGTATCATGAAATACAAGATGGTTGACATGGAGCAGGGCATTGTGGGATACAAAATGGCCAACACTGAGTATCATGGGATACAAGATGGCTGACCTGGAGTAGGGCATTGTGGGATACAAGATGGCTGACAGCGCAGGGTATTATAGGATCCAAGATGGCTGACACTGAGTATCATGGGATACAAGATGGTTGACATGGAGAAGGGTATTGTGGGATACAAGATGGCTAACACTGAGCATCATGGGGTATAAGATGGTTGACATGGAGCAGGGCATTGTGGGAGACAAGATGGTTGACACTGAGCACTACGGGATACAAGATGGCTGACCTGGAGCAGAGCATTGTGGGATACAAGATGGTTGACACTGAGCACTATGGGATACAAGATGGCTGACACAGTGCAGGGCATTGTGGGATACAAGATGGCTGACACTGAGCATTATGGGATCCAAGATGGCTGACATGGAGCAGGGCATTGTGGGATACAAAATGGCTGACACTGAGCATTATGGGATACAAGATGGCTGACATGGAGCAGGGCATTGTGGGATACAAGATGGCTGACACTGAGCATTATGGGATACAAGATGGCTGACATGGAGCAGGGCATTGTGGGATACAAGATGGCTGACACTGAGCATTATGGGATACAAGATGGCTCACACAGCACAGGGTATTATAGGATACAAGATGGCCGACACTGAGCATCATGGGATACAAGATGGTTGACATGGAGAAGAGTATTGTGGGATACAAGATGGCCGACACTGAGCATCATGGGGTACAAGATGGTTGACACAGTGCAGGGCATTGTGGGATACAAGATGGCTGACATTGAACCTGACAGGATCCAAGATGGCAGACATGGAGCAGGGCATTGTGGGATACAAAATGGCCGACAGGGCATTGTGGGGCACCCACAGAGCCCAATTAACACCAAGTATTAATTAGGGGGGACAGGTTAAATACCCCCTTGTTAATTAGGGGGGAAGCTAATTAGCCACCTCATTAATTAGGGGAGTAACTAATTACCTCCATAATTAGGTGAGGGGAGGCTAATTACCCCATCATTAGGTAGGAGGGGGTTAATTACCCTATAATTAATGAGGGTAGTTGCTAATTACCACATCATTAATTGGTGTGATTACTTACCCCCTCATTAATTAGGGGGGACTAATTACTCCCTCATTAATTGCAGGAACTAATTTCCCCATCATTAATTAGGGAATGTAATTACAAACTGATTAATTAGGGGAGGGTGAACTACCACTTATTTAATTAGGGGAGGAGCTAATTACACCATCTATTATTAGGGGTTGATTACTCCTTTATTAACTAATTAATTAAAGGAGGATTAATCACATTATTAATGAGGGGAGGGCTATTTACAACCACCCTTATTAATTAGTGTAGGGTTAATTACCCCATCATTATTAGGGGAGGGTTAATTACCCCATCAATTAGTTTGGGAGATAATTTCCCCCCTTATTAATTAAAGGAGGATTAATCACCCCATTATTAACTAGGAGAAGGGCTAATTATAGCCCCCCTTATTAATTAAAGGAGGATTAATCACCTTATTATTAACTAGGAGAAGGGCTAATTACAGCCCACCTTATTAATTAGGGGAGGGTTAATCGCCCCATAATTAATTAGAGGTTAATTAATTAATTGGTTACTTAATTTATTGATTAATTGATTAATTAATTAATTAATTAAGCATCCCACTAACAAACTTTTCCTCTCCCTCCCCGCAGATTTCGGCCCCAGGAAGGTACTGGGAAAACGGTTCAAAATGGGCTGAAAAGGCCCAAATTTGGGGGTCTGGGGGGTCCCTGGGGGGGCACTCCCAGCCCCCCATGACCCCTCCCCCTCTATGGGGGTCCCGCTGCCCCTCCCCCACTCACGGGGGTCCCGTTGCCCCCCCAGAACAAATCGCAGCGTCCGGGACCCGACAAGAAACGGGGGGACCTGGGTGAGGAATTTTGGGGGGGGTCCCGACCCCTCGGGTCCAAATTTGGGGGGCACAGGGGAGGGTCTGACCCCCCCATTCCATGGTTGGGGGGCACAGGGGGAGGGTCTGAACCCCCCCCCATCAGCTCCAAATTTGGGGGGCACAGGGGAGGGTCTGACCCCCATTCCATGGCTGGGGGAGCACAGGGGAGGGTCTTTCCCCCCCTCGTTTGGGGGCTCAGGGGGTCTGTCCCCACCCCCAGCTCCAAATTTGGGGGGCACAGGGAGGGTCAGAAGCCCCCACCCCCCCCCCATGTTCGGGGGACTCAGGGGGGGTCTCTGACCGCCCCCCTGGGTTGATTTTTGGGGGTCTCAGGGTGGTCCATGTTTGGGGGGCACCAGGGGGTCTCTGCCCCACCCCCAGGTTGATCTTTGGGGGGTCTCAGGGGTGGTCCATGCTTGGGGAACCGGGGGTCTCCTGACCGCCCCCTGGAGTTGGGATTTTTGGGGGTCTCAGGGTGGTCCATGCTTGGGGGCACCAGGAGGTCTGACCCCACCCCGGGTTGATTTTCGGGGGTCTCAGGGGTGGTCCATGTTTGGGGGTCTCAGGGGGTCTGACCCCACCCCCGGGTTGCTTTTTGGGGGGTCTCAGGGGTGGTCCATGTTTGGGGGAACCGGGGGTCTGGCCCCACCCCCTGGGTTGATTTTTGGGGGTCTCAGGGGTGGTCCATGTTTGGGGGTCTCAGGGGTCTGTCCCCACCCCGGGTTGATTTTCGGGGATCTCAGGGTCCCTGTTGACCCCTCGTGCCCCCCCCAGGGCTCCCCAAGGTCGAGACCACCCAGCCCTACAACGGCGTCCCCACCGGGTCCTGGGACCCTCTGCGCCTCAGCCCCGGTGACGTCATCGAGGTCACGGTGGCCGAGGCCGAGGAGCTCTGGTGGCAGGTGGGGATGGGGGAAGCGGACCCCAGGGTGGGGACGGACCCCATGGTGGGGATGGGACCCTCAGGGTGGGGCTGGGACCCTCGAGAGGGACATGGGACCCCTGGGGTGGGGACGGGACCCCCATGGTGGGGACGGGACACCCGTGGTGGAGATGGGACCCTCAAGAGGGAAATGGGACCCCCGGGGTGGGGATGGGACCCCTGGAGTCGAGATGGGACCCCCAGGGTGGGGACGGGACACCCGTATTCGAGATGGGACCCTCAAGAGGGAAATGGGACCCCCGGGATGGGGGCGGGACCCCCAGGGTGGGGACGGGACACCCGTGGTGGAGATGGGACCCTCAAGAGGGAAATGGGACCCCCGGGGTGGGGCTGGGACCCCCAGGGTGGGGTTGGGACCCTCAAGAGGGAAATGGGACCCCCCGGGATGGGGACGGGACCCCCGGGGTGGGGACGGGACCCCCGAGATGGGGGTGGGACCCCCAGGGTGGGGACGGGACACCCGTGGTGGAGATGGGACCCTCAAGAGGGAAATGGGACCCCCGGGGTGGGGATGGGACCCCCAGGGTGGGGACGGGACCCTCAAGAGGGAAATGGGACTTTCGGGGTGGGGCTGGGACCCCCAGGGTCGAGATGGGACCCCCAGGGTGGGGCTGGGACCCTCAAGAGGGAAATGGGACCCCCGGGGTGGGGCTGGGACCCCCAGGGTGGGGCTAGGACCCTCAAGAGGGAAATGGGACCCCCGGGGTGAGGAAGGGACCCCTCGGGTAGGGACAGGACCCCCGGGGTGGGAAAGGGATCCTCAGGTGTGGGGTTGGGACCCCCCAGGGTTGGGGCGGGACCTTCCCACCCCTGGGGACCCCCTGACGTCCCCCCGGACCCCCCAACTCCCCCCCCCCAGGGCAGGAACGTGGCCAGCGGTGACCAGGGCTGGTTCCCGAGCGGGGCCGTGAGACCCTTCGTGGCTGTGAGTTTGGGGACCCCAAATCCCCCAGGGACCCCCTACAGCCCCCCCGCGGTGTCCCTGAGGGGTTTGGGGTCCCGAGATTTGGGGAGCTCTCGGAGGGGTCCCCCCCAACCCCGATCCCAAACGCTGCTCCCTCCCCCCCCACAGGTGCCACTGCCGGACCTCTCCGTGTACCCCTGGTTGGTGCTGGGGACCCCCCGCTGCCCCCCAAATCCTCCTCTGGGACCCCCATTTCCCTAGGACCCCAAATCCTCCCTGGGCCCCCAAATCCTCTGCCTCACCACCATTGCCCTGGGACCCCAAATCCTCCCCTGGGCCCCCAAATCCTCCTCTGAGCCCCCATTGACCCTGGGACCCCAAATCCTCCCCTGGGCCCCCAAATCCTCTGCCCCACCATCATTGCCCTGGGACCCCAAATCCTCCCCTGGGCCCCTCAAATCCTCCCTGAGTCCCCCAAATCCTCCTCTGGGCCCCCATTGAGCCTGGGACCCCAAATCCTCCCCTTGGACTCCCAAATCCTCCCCTGAGTCCCCCAAATCCTCTGGGCCCCCACTGACCCTGGGCCCCTAATCCTCCCCTGGGACCTCCAAAGTCTCCCCTCTGGGACCTCCAAATCCTCTGACCCTCCCCCATTGACCCTGGGACCTCCAAATCCTCCTCTGGGCCCCCCAAATCCTCCACTGAACCCCCCATTGTCCTGGGCCCCCAAATCCTCCCTGGGCCCCCAAATCCTCCCCTTGGACCCCCAAATCCTCCCTGAGTACCCCCAAATCCTCCTTGGGACCCCTAAATCCTCCCCCTGGGACCCTCAAATCCTCCCGAGTCCCTCCAAATCCTCCCCTGGGACCCCCAAATCCTCCCTGAGTCCCCCAAATCCTCTGACCCTCCCCATTGACCCAGGGACCTCCAAATCCTCCTCTGGGCCCCCAAATCCTCCACTGAACCCCCCATTGTCCCTGGGACCCCAAATCCTCCTCCGGGCCCCCATTGCCCCTGGGACCCCCCAGATTCTCCTCTGGGACCCCACCCCCCCCGAACCCCCCCGGGGAGGGTTGGTGGTGCCAGTTTGGGGTCTCAGAGCTCCTGAACCCCCCGGGGAGGGCTGGGGGTGCCGGTTTGGGGTCTCAGAGCCCCCAAAACCCCCCGGGGAGGCCGGGCGATGCCTTTTTGGGGTCTCAGAGCCCCCGAACCCCCCCGGGAAGAGGGAGGGGGTGCCGGTTTGGGGTCTCAGAGCCCCCGAATCCCCCGGGGAGGGCTGAGGGTGCCTTTTTGGGGTCTCAGAGTCCCTGAACCCCCCGGGGAGGGCCGGGTGGTGCCTTTTTGGGGTCTCAGAGCTCCCGCACCGTTCCCGAACCCCCCCGGGGAGGGGTGGGGGTGCCAGTTTGGGGTCTCAGAGCTCCCGAATCCCCCGGGGAGGGCCGGGCGATGCCTTTTTGGGGTCTCAGAGCCCCGCACCGTTCCCGAAGCCCCCCGGGGAGGGGTGGGGGTGCGGATTTGGGGTCTCAGAGC